ATAGTCACCGCTGCTGAGCCTGGCTTGGGTATAGTCACCACTGCTTGGGTATAATCACCGCTGCTGGGTCTCTGCTTGGGTATAGTCACCGCTGCTGAGCCTGGCTTGGGTATAGTCACCACTGCTTGGGTATAATCACCGCTGCTGAGCCTGGCTTGGGTATAGTCACCGCTGCTGAGCCTGGCTTGGGTATAGTCACCACTGCTTGGGTATAATCACCGCTGCTGGGTCTCTGCTTGGGTATAGTCACCGCTGCTGAGCCTGGCTTGGGTATAGTCACCACTGCTTGGGTATAGTCACCGTTGCTGGGCCTCTGCTTGGGTATAGTTACCACTGCTGAGTCTCTGCTTAGGTATAGTCACCACTGCTTGGGTATAGTCACCACTGCTTGGGTATAGTCATCGTTGCTGGGCCTCTGCTTGGGTATAGTCACTGCTGCTGGGTCTCTGCTTGGGTATAGTTACCGCTGCTGAGCCTCTGCTTGGGTATAGTCACCACTGCTTGGGTATAGCATTTGCCATAAGTTGATGCCAGGACGGTGTTGATGAGCCTAAGGCCCTGTTTCAGTGTGAGGGGAGCATTTGCAGTGGTGAAGATACCTGCCCTGATGCAGTGCCTCTCTGTGTGGAGGTGAACACCCCCAGCCATACTGGATGATGGTTCAGTCACTGTGCACTGAAACCATCTGTTAGACCTGCAGGAAGCATCTCCAAGGACGATCTGGGAAACACACACAGCCCAGAGAAACATATTTAACTGTGTTATGTAAATACTTATACCAAGTACTTCAGCTACATCCACTTCTGTTTTTAAAATGTGAATGCTACTCTTTCTATAAGTATCTGCACATATTCATTCCTCAGAAATAGTACTATGATATTGTATTGCTTTTTAGCTTATATGAAGGAGTGGGTTTTGTACTGCATTTAACCTACCACATCAAACACCTACTTGGCAAATCAAGTGTTCTATTCTATTCTATTCTATTCTATTCTATTCCTTTCCACTCTGACAGTGCTCACTCTAATGGCTGTGACTATGGCTCCATTGTCCATTAGTTGGAAGGCGTTCACGTAGATCTTCATGGCCACCGCGCTCAGGAGCCAGAGAAGGCCTCTCCCCTGGATCATCCATGCGTTTCTTTTGTGATGTGACCTTCACTGATTCAGGAGAAGGTCGCCCATATAGCTCTGGTAGATGTTTAATAGCCTTTTCTCCAGCATAACCTCCCATCTACACCCTTACTTGCGGCCCGGCTTGGAAACTGATGAATACTTTTCATTTATTATTTTTGCTGACTTGGTCAACATCACAGGTTGCATTTTACTGTGTGTTTGTGTTCAGCTTAAACAGATGTGCTTTCGTAGTCACATGCAATAAACTGTATTTTTTTGCTGTGTTTGCGTAAAGAAGTTTCCATTGTAAAATCACATAAAGCTAAAACTTGTATCACTATGGTCTACTCAGGAAACTGGCTGATTTATAGGATGCCGTCACTTTGGGTTTTGTTCCGGAGAAAATTGCCTCTGGTTGTTAGGCTACAGTCAGCTGGATTCTTCACCTCCACCCCTAGCGCCTTAGCATTGGGCTTAACCTTAATAACAAAGAGATTAAGCTGGGATTACTGGGAAATTGTGATTTTAATGGCACTCATATTGGGACAATGTCTTCCATCTACATAGAAGCAGAAGAGTCTGCATTTCCGCTGTCGGGTTACCAGAAACGCAGGCAGAAATGAAGCCTGCCTGTTTTTAAAATGAAATAATATCGCAGAATGGCAGTGTGGGCTGGGACAGGCTGGTGGCTTTAGCGTACCTCAGAGAGCCACTGAGACGTATGCAGAAGAGTGAGGGAATGCGCACTGCACCGTCATCACTCATTTGTTTCTGCATTTTTAATTCAATAAGAAGCCATTGGGGTTAGTCTATATCAACATCTGGAAATGCTAGTTGCAAATTAGCGACCTGGAAGAAAAAACACGTGCGGTTAAATTATAATTAATATGATTTCAGCTGTTTGTAGCTCATAAAAACTATAGCTGGTGTGTAGCATGTGTTTTATCTTTGGAGTTTATAGGCTATCAGAATATTCCAGACTTCATTTACATGCTCTGTGTATTGCAAATGTGCTTAAGCTAATAGCATTTGTATGGCATCATTATAAAGTGTTTGCTTTTGCTTGCTGGAAGTTCACCTGTAGCTAATATTCTGTCTTGCTCTAAATCAAAAGCTCTTCCAGTGCACCAGTTAGTGTGCGTGGGTTCCCTCTGGGAGCTGGTAGCAGCTTTGGAGATTCCACTCTGCTCTGGTTCCGTGTGAGACAAGGACGGCCACCCCCGCCCCAGGTGGCCCTGAGGTGTGCGTCACTGGGTTCCACCCCAGAATGCAACAGAGATTTATACTAAATGGAAAGGGAACTCTGAGATTCACATTTATGGAACGTTCTGTAGTCGGGACAGCAGATGTACCCATGTGACGTGGTTATGGGTATTGAACATGACCTTTGTTTGGGGAAATAAAATACAGAAAAGTATCCTTTCAGAGCAGATTTAAATGAAAACCAAATGGATGTGGTGTGGGACAGAAAAGCTTAGATCTGTTAGGGGTCAGGAATGGGGTTTCTCGGTTGTGATGGTTAAGGCAGCTTCCAGGTTACTGGGGGAAAAAACACCAATTTTAACATCGATATATACCCATCATGGAGAGCAAGGCATAGATGGAATTAATCACCTGACTGTCTCTGGCAAGACCCTCAAGTGTAGCCTCTATATTCGTGCGCGCACATACACACACACGTGCAAACACACGCATGCGCGCACACACCTACATACATATTTGCATTCATTTCTTTGTGGGGACTCGCCATTCATTTCTACAAGCATAACCCTAATCCCAACGATAACCCTACCCAGCCCTAAACTTAACCATAAGGAGCCATACAGAAAACAAGACTTTTGGCATTTTAAAATTTTTTTTTTAGTGCTTTCACAGAATTGTATAAAATTGAGGACATTTGGTCCCCACAATGTGGTAAATACACGCAGCCACGCGTGGGTCTCTATCCAGCAGCCATGCCGCCTGCCCTTCAGACTGGGTTATCCACCTGAAGATAAGCAAGTTTCGGCCTGGTCAGTGTTTCAATGGGAGTTTCAAGACTGGGTTGCCTTGGTTGAGCTTTTCTGTGTCCAGCAGGGTAGCCCATCCTGTGGTCTGTGTGAATCTCAATGTCCCAGTGCAGTGATGGGGGCACTGGCCAGGAGGGTAGCCCATCCTGTGGTCTGTGTGAATCCCAATGTCCCAGTGCAGTGATGGGGGCACTGTGCTGTAAAAAAAAAAAAGCCATTTGGATGAGGCATAAAACTCCCCGAGGTCATAAAAGATCCCTGGGCATCTTTCGAAAGAGTAGGGGTGGTATCCTGATGTCCTGGCTAAATTGCCCACTGTGGCTCCATCAGATCTGGCCTCCTAATCATCCCCTTTATCTAATTGGTAAATTCTCTCCTGCCCCTTCACCACCTTAACTACTGCATGGTGAGCGTACTGGTGCACAATGGCTGCCATTGCATCATCCAGGTGGGGGCTACACAGTGGT